CCTGCTGCCCGGTAAACCCTGTGCTGAGAGCAGCGCATATTTATTTGCCCACTAAAAGGACAGAAAATGTAATTTACTGTCACAAAGCCACCATTTCTTCAAAGAGATGCTCTTCCCTTGTTTGTAATGTGAGAACAGAACATAGCTCTCAAAACGATGTCCGCCAGGCCCAGGGCAGGGAAGAGGTGGCCTACTGTCCTCACCTCCCGCCCGTCGCCGCATCCCCAGCTGCACAAAATCTAATCTCCGGCTGGAAATGAACAAATAACTCACAGCCTCCCCCGTGTCTTTGCTCACCGCTGCTTCGCGCCTCGGCAGCTGGGCCCTTCCTGGCTCTGGGGAGGGGTCCAAGGGGCTCGGCGGCAGGCCTGGCTGCCAGGGTCGGTGGGGTGGGCCCATGTGCCATCCAGGGGCCCCCCTGGACGCTCGGAGGGTCCAGGGGGCCATGGCCTTGAGCTGCACGTGTGGACGGCCCCTGACCACACATGGCCCGTCCTGGGGCCGGTAGGCCCGCCCGGCGTCACCACAGCACCTCTCGGCAGCGCCAACGGGGACGTGCGCTTCTTCGACCCTCGGATGCCGGAGTCCGTGAACGTCCTGCAGATCATTAAGGGGCTGACGGCCCTCGACATCCACCCCCAGGCAAACCTGATCGCGTGGTAGGTGCCGGCCCTCTTCTCTCTCCCCGCCCTGCCTGACCAACGCCCGGGGCCCTGTGTGAACAGCAGGCACTACTGCCCGCCCCACACCTGTGGAGGAGAGCTGGGCGGAGGGACTGAGTGCGCGGCCCCTTTGCTGCTCCTCGCCTGCCTGGCCTCCCGGCCCAAGTCCTCTCGTGGGGGCGACCAGAGAGGAGCCCCATCTCCTTGTGGACACGCCCGCCTCCCCACGCTGACTGCCAGGCCTTCTCGTGTGCAGTGGCTCCATGAACCAGTTCACCGCCATCTACAATGGCAGCGGAGAGCTGATCAACCACATCAAGTACTACGACGGCTTCATGGGCCAGCGGGTCGGCGCCATCAGCTGCCTGGCTTTCCACCCACACTGGGTCTGTGTCCCCGCGGGAGGCGAGGGGGGGGCGGGAGGCGAGCAGCAGCAGCAGCGGGAGGGGTGCTGCAGCCAGGCCCCGCCCCACACCACAGTGTGGCCCAGGGCCTCCAGGGGCCGTAGCCCCCAGACTGCACTCGCTGTAGAAGCAGCACCAAATTCCCTGTCAATCAAAGCAGATGGGAAGTAGCCCCGCCCTCTCTGGCCCCTGCAGCCCCTACACAGACCCCAGGCCTGGAGAAACCTCCCCCTGTAAAGCCCACCCGGGTAGGAGCAGCCCAGACCCCTGTGACCCGGCTGACAGCGCCGTCCTTCGTTACAGTCGGCTGCGTGGTTGGGGGCTGCTGTGTTTTTTTAATTAGGATTCTGCCAACCTGCCTTCATGCAGCGTGAGGCTCCCTGGGAGCCTGGCGTGTGGCTCTCTGCCTAAACGCACGACATCAGGCTCCCAGAGCTGCCCCTGGGAGGCCATCCTGAAAAAAAAGTGTGGGAGGCATGGGGAATGTGCGGATTCCCTGTGACAGGGAGATGATGCATCTCTGCAGAAGCCGCAGCCGATGGGCCCTCGTTCCCGCGCCTACCTCGTGGGCGGAGTTGGGGTGTCAAGGCCCGGCCGGCACCCCCCGGATGCTCACTGCCTGCTCTCTGCTCCCTCCTGCAGCCTCACCTGGCCGTGGGCAGCAACGACTACTACATTTCCGTGTACTCGGTGGAGAAGCGTGTCAGATAGCGGCCCCTCCCCACAGGCCGCCATGTACATAGTGGACCCACCGCGCTGCCCTGAGCACCTGCCTGACCTGGCTGCTCAGGGCTCAAGAGGGCCCGCACTGTCTGTCTGTCTGTCTTCGCTGTCACGCCCAGGAGCCCAGAGAAGGGGGCTCTGCTGGAGTCCTCGGTGTGATGGTTGCTGCTCTAATGAAACACAGCTCCTGGCCTGAGGACACAGTAGCTGTACATCCCAGTCCCCTTCCTGTCCTGTTTTCTTCTGAGGTTTTTAAGGGGGAAACACTTGTTTTGTTTTCCGAGTGATGCAAACATTAGTCCACAAAGGCTCCAGACGGAAGCCAGCCTCCCGGGACTGCGCACCGCGCCCTCTCCCCACCCCCCGCCCCGGTGTCCTCCTGGGGATGGTCTGAGCGCACTGGATGAGCTTGAGATGGAGTGAAGGACAGATGGAGGCGGCCTGCCACCCACTGGGTCCTCACCCCCGGCCCATCCGGCCAAACGGCGAGGCCGAGCGTGCCCCTCCCCACACAGCCACCCTCCCCGCAGGCAGGACTTCCGTCTGAGTGTCAGCTGTTCTTGCTGCAGGTCTGTCAGCAGGAGGGGCCCTGGTTTGGAAGGAGAGACAGGTCCCTTGGGCCACAGAGCTTGTTTCTCTCAAGTGCTGCTCTTCCCCAGCAGGTGTGGGAACTGTGGCCTCCCCACCTGCACCCCACACGCATCACGCGAGCACACATGGAGGGGTCACCAAGCCCCAAGAGTATCGGGGTGAACGGTGCCGCCCCAGCCCTCTGTCCCCACACAAAGAGGTGCAGCTCACACTTGCGAGGGACACGGGAGAGCTCCCGGGAGGGCAGCAGCTTCGCATGTGTCCATGCACACGCGTCTGTGACGGGGCGCTGAGCAGCCACACCTGGAACACGAGACACAGCCACAATGATATTCTGAAAAGCATTTTTTCCATTTTCCTTGGGAATCAGGATTATTCAGAAATAGAGGGATGAGCTGGCGTAGCAACTTCTGCCGATAATAGGCCAATAACAGTGAGAATGTGAGGGAGCGCCATGCTGTGGACGTGGGTGGGCTTGGTGGGGCGCAGGGCTGGGCAAGGGGAACAGCCCTTCTGCGGCCCATAGGCCATGCCTGCTCCCCCGAGAAAGTTCCAGGACAGCGTCCGCCATGTTCTGGGCAAGCGAGCAGCGTGGGGTCGGGGAGACCGCAGAAAGCTCAGCTCCCCCGTACACAGCCGGTCACCTCCACCCGGCGCTCCAGACGGCGACTTGGGAACCTTCCAGAAGCTGAGCTCCACCCACAGATGCAGAGTTGACTACCCACAGCCAATTCACGGAGCGGTTCCACTCCAGATTTTGAGCTCATATGCGGTTCTGTTTGTTTTGAGACAAAACCATCCCCTGGCCAAGTGCAGAGGCCCCGCAGAGGGGCTGTCTTCACAGGTCTGATGCGAAAATTCAATCATGAAGTTACAGAGTCTCGAGAGAGCGTGACCTAAGGGTTCATTTATCTCTATTTATTTTACCAAAATGAGAATTGAAAGACTTTGATGAAACATGGAATTGTAATACGAGAGTAAGAGCGATAAACTGTTAATAAAAGATAAATATGCAGAGGGTTGGCTGGAGGCTCTGTCTTTTAAGGCAAGTCCTCTGTGCCCTCGGGGACTCCAGGCACCAAGCAGGTGGTTCTCGGCCCTCGTTCCCCTTAGGCACAGCCCCAGCCCTGTGGCTTGGACAGTTGGTCCAAGAAAAGGCACTAAATGTGGGGTCACCCCACTCTACCTGTGAGCCCAGAGGCTCCCAGAGGGATTACTGCTGCCACTTCTTGTGTCTCTTTTATTTACCACCTGCAGTTAGAGGCCAGGAGGCTGCGTCCGCTCTATTCTGGGCATCTGCCTTCCCACGCCCATCCCATGGCTCGGGGACCGCAACTCCACCCTCAGCCAGCATCCCCTCTGACCCCAGCCTAAAAGGTCCTCCGCTGTCAGCACATGACTCCTCAGGCCCACCTGGTGGTCCAGGGTCGTCTCCCCTTTGGGGGCTGGAATGTCATCTCCTGCAGGGCCCCCCTGCTCCAAATGGCTCCTGATTCTAGATGGGACCCTGTGGCTCCGCAGGCCCTGCCGTCCCTGGACACTTCCTGAGGTTGGGTGGGGATGTTCCCACAGACGCGGTCAACAGGCCCGTGGGGTCCCGGCCCCTCAAGTGCACCTCACATCTCAGGGGTCCCACTGAGATGTGGGTCTCACTGGAGGCAGCTTGGGCACTGGCTCTTGCTGCCACCATGACAGGAAATGGGGTCCAGGCGTTAAGTAACTCACCCAAAGCCACACCCATTGGGTGGTGGCAGGAACCTGCATCCCAGCCAGGCATCCTGACCTCAAGGCCTGGAGAAAGACCTTCGCTCCGCAGAGGGGTTGTGGTGGGCGGGGAGGCAGGTAGCATCGGGTACCAGCCATGTACAGTGGCGCTGAAGGGGCGACCGGAAGTGAACGGGGTTTACTAGGCTAGACGGGGCCGACCTGACCAAAGACGGGTGGGTCCCAGGGGAGACCAGGTAGGCTGTGACAAGGGACTCAGTTGCCGGGGGCACAGGGGGAAGAAAGGGGCCAGGACTTGGGAAGGAGGCGGGCCACCCGGCCCCTGGTCCCAGACCAATGAAGCCCCCATGTCAGCCCCCATGACTGCTGTAGCAAATCACTCCAAACATGTTAGCCAGGACAGACTTACCCTCCCAATCCTGGAGAGCCCCACACCGGACCTAAAACCAGGAGTCAGCAAGGTTCCTTCCGGAGCTTCCAGGGGAGAATCCCTCTTCCCCCCTTTCCAGCTTCTAGAATCTGCCCTCATCCCTTGGCTTGTGGCCCCTTCCTCCTCCTTCAGAGCCGGCAGTGCTGGTGAAGTCTTTCTCATAGGGCATCACTCTGACTCAGATTCTGCCCCCCTCACTCTTTCAAGGACCCTGTGATGACACGGCCCCACAGGATAATCCAGGACAATCTCCCCACATGAGTCACCGATTGGCAACCTTAATCCCCTTTGCCACGTGACCTAACAAGGTCCCAGCTCCCAGGATTAGGATGTGGGCCCCTTTGGGAGACTTTATTCTGCTGACCACTCTCTCTGTCTGCAAGTCCCCCACCAAGCAGAGCCCCCAAAGGCCGAGGGGCGGGGGCTGGCCAAGAGGAGGTGGGTGGACGCTGAGATGGGAAGGAAGACGTCGATCCCTGTTCTCAGTGCCAGGAGAGGACTGGGGAAGGGCATCGGGCCATGGCCCCTGCTCTCCAGAGCCATCCGTGCAGGGCCAGCTGCCCCCACGTCCCTGGGGAGGCCCCCAGGCCTGGCGCATGAGGGAGGCTGCCGGGAATTGGGTGGATTCCCCAGCACAGCGCCTGCTCCAAGGTGGGGAGGGGAGCTGTTGCCATGGAAACCCGGGGTCTGAGCAGCTGGAACTCCTGAATTAAATTATGGTTTGTTTTAAACAAGAAGGATAACCAGCATTTACTCAGCTGCACGCGGCACGCTTCAGTGGAGAGAGTAATATTTTTCCCATTAGCATCAGTTATTCTGTCACCAGCACTTGAGTACAAATCAAGTGCTCATAAAAATGAAAGATGGGCACGTGGAAGGAGCTACCACAGGAGGGCGCCAGGCCAGGCCCAGGCCCACACCTTCCACTCGGCCCCGCACAGCCGCTGTGAAGGGGCCGGAAAAGAGAGCCCAGCTGCACCAAGTGACCAGCCAGTGTCGGCCCGCAGGCCAGGAGCCAGGGACGACTGTACGGGGCAGCTGTGCAGAGACAGCCATCCAGCCGAGGAGAGAGTGGACAGGGAAGTGGCGTCTCATGAGGTCATCCAGCTCAGCAAGGCTCTGCTCTGTGGGTCACTGGAACCAGGAAGGTCCCTCCTGGCTCAGCAGCTTTCGGCACAGGACCACCTGAGACGGGGCCGCAGGCTGGTCCTCCTGCCGGTGCTGATGCTGTGCTTCCACACACAGGAGGGGCCAAGAATTCCCGGCAAAGACATGTTCCCCGCGGCCGACACACAGACACACATGCGCGTGCAGGCGAGCGGTGGTGATTCCAGGCTCAGGATGTAGGGCCGGCAGAGGGAGTTTGGGAGAAGGTGATAACTGACAAGGGCTGGGGGTGCCATGAGGCTGGCCGGCCACTATCTTGTTCCTGGAATTTCTGCAGGTGCTCCTCTGGGAAGGGGTCAGAGGGGTTGACCTCTCAAGTTTTTTCTGTTTCTCAGGTTCAGTTGCACAATCTCGTTGGAGGCCCATGTGCCCACAAAAGTGGCCAGTGCCTCACAGCCTGGGGCAGGTGAAGATGGGGTACGACCAGAACAGGTGAAGGAAGAGGGGGACCAGAGGGAGGATGGCAGCCGGTATGTGCCCAGTTGTGTCCTCTAAACTCAGGCTGAAGTCTGAACCCCCCTAACTCGCTGCAGCCCTGCCCCAGTGCCCCGTCTGGAGGGGCCAATTCGGCACAGCCCCTGCCATGTGCTGGACAGGGAGGACAGTGGCTCTTGGTGGGTGGGGACAGGGACTCTGGTGAAAGCATGGGGTGCAGGCACGGACAAGGTGGCTCTGAGCCCAAGTCTCATAGGACCAGAAGCAAGTAGGGGAGGATGTGGGAGACCCAGGCTGGGTGGGGAGGGCAGAGGCCCCTCCCGAGCCCTGTGGTCCCGGCAGGTGGCCCGGCCTCGAGGGTCAGGATGGTGGGGCTTCGGGGAGAGATTGAATTGGGCCGTTGTCAGCCCCTGGGCTAGTTGGTTTCCACCAATTTCTCCTCAGCAGCATCAGGTGGAAGAGACACCCTGGCAGGTTGATTGCAGCCCCTGGATCTGCGTCTTGGAGCAAAGTCTCCTTTGCCTCCACCTGGTGGGGCCGGGACTTTTTCCGATGGTGGGAGGTGGGCTTCATGTCCCCACCCCTCTCCCTGGCCAGCAGGCACACCCTGAGACACCCACCCACCCACCAGCCCCCCGGC